GGACTTGACAGAACGAGCCGTATCAAAGGAGTGCAGAGTTGGCCTCAATTAGGGCGGCGGCGAGGAGGAGGAGTCGAAGCAGCGTGGCCGGGAGAGGCTGCTCCGTCATCAAAACACAAGTTGAGAGGAGGGGGAATTGATTCAACGTAAGGAGATTGGTGTAGCAGACCTTGGTCACCGTGAGGCGGGTGGGAACGCGACGAAGGCGCGTCTGCTGTGATCCTCTAGGTAATGGACGTTACCGGAATTGTCGTCCCACAGACTATCGTATCCTTGCTCATTATATATTTTGCTGCAGTCGACGCTTGTCATGCTGTCAGCATTAGCGTAGCGGTTTGATAGATTGGTTTATTATTCCTAGCCTAAAGCTACTATTCTCTTCATTGTCGTAAATTGACTTTTCGAATGAATGAGAAAGTTCGCGATCCAGGTAATTGTATGGACGAGGAAGAAGGCATATCGAGCACCAGACTTTTGCGCGTGATACATTTGGATATGTGATTACCCCTGATTTGTATTACACTGTTTCCTTTTAGAGCCTTAAACAAGCCTGCACGCAGTTTCAGTTCGCTGCCTGGATTTTTCAAACTCTACGTGAACGTTATGAACAGTTCGAAGACGCCAACGACATGCATGGTGACTTGTGTCGTTTTTATCACTCACTGATGCTGGTACGTATTTACCCTCTGCTAAAACTTATCTGTATCCTCAATCGCGTTTTCATTAATTGCTTCATCGAAATTTCCATTCTTGAGCTTACAGCCATCCTAGTCTGACAAAGAGTAAATCCATTTGTCATTTAAGTATTCATCGCAATGTCTCTTGTTAATATGTGCATGTTTGAAATATTATTTAGAGCCAGGCCCAGGAGTGTGTAACTGAAAAATCCATGCTGGACAGTCGGCCACCAGCCTTGACTGCTAAGTTGACTAAATTTCTGGCGGAATCATACGAATACTGTTGCAATCAACTTAATTCACAGACTCTGGCTTCAATTCTTCCTGAAAAGTTCCTGCGGGTAAGCAACCTAAGATTTCAGTTTTTCCCCATAGTCCTGACTGTAAGATTTAAAATGATTTTTTTAAATTGAATCATGCACCTTGCTGATACAGGCTTTGACAGTGTATTTAGCACACTAAGATCACAATTAAATAGAAGAATGTATTGAAATGGATCCGACAAAGCAAGGGGAGACCGTAATAGCCATTTATGGCTTGTTAGCCGTCATCAGCAAGTCACACGCAATCCCAAGGGTTGACACCCCCGAGATTTGAACCCGGGACCTTTGGCCATTGAGTTCAATACTCTACCACGGCACCACGGGCCCCCATGCTTTGTCGGTTGACATCGGGAATATGATGAATATATGTGCTTCGCCGATCTTGTAGAGGAATGTGTGCATGCCTTTCGAAACGGACTGGACGGTTGCTTTATACAGAATACTTACTTGTACTTGCCATTGCTATCATAATACCTAATAGGGCCAGACTATGGTTTCACCCATTGTATTTCCACGCATGAAAATCTGCAATATCGTATCTGAAGAGCCCGATCCATTCTCTAGTAACGGGGGCCAAGTACTAAAGATGCAAACACATCCGTAGTTGGTAGTTATGGCTTGGAAGGTGGCCAATTGACCAGATGAGAATACGTCCTACCCTGGACCCATCTCCAGAATGCAATAGCTAATTCTTGCTGTCGTGATGCATGTCTGTGCGAGATCTGGCTAAATTTGACACACGGCACGGCACGCATGACCACTCCCTTCAGTTTTAGCCA